TTCTTATACATTCAAAGACGGCCGGTGAGTAAATGCTAATCATCATCTACTAATAAAGGTTTGATTATATATTCTGTTTTTACGCAGCTCGAATCAAGAAAGGTATAAATCAAAGATGAAAGGATAATCTAAAGAAGGGTCATTGTCCATTATTTTCTCATTATTATGCGAAGAATTGTTTTTTTTTAATCGCAATTATTCTCATCATGATTATCACTTGAATAAAGAATATTTCCTAAGAACTTTAGTATTTGTTCCTCGAGATGAATTTAGAAAGATCTCATTTTACTCGTTATGACTGTATTCTTCGTGCTTTTATCGTCGTCTTGTTTTCTTTTCTAATTTATATTGATCTGTTTTTGCAGTCACATCGATATTATCTGTCTGTTACTGTTGTTTTTGGTTACTATTGTTATCCTCGGTGGTCGTAGACTTTATCCACTCTCGCAATCCAAAAAAGATTCGTCACATCAGTTTTTGATAGGTCGTCTACAAGTACCCAAATTTAGGCTATCGCTATATTTTGTTGGGTGTATGTAAGTGTAATCTTTCCCTTTTTGCGATCGTATTTTGTGTTCAACTTTGTGCATTTGTCCGACTGGAAAAATAACTTTGTATTAGGAAAAACGTGACCTTACTACGTCATGTATCAAAAAACTTTTTGTCACAAAATAAAATCTACCTGTATTTTTCCAGTTACATGTACTATATGTAATGTATTTTCCGTGATGTCTAAAAATTTAATCCCGTCAATATCGATATCGGATTTATCGGATTTTAACTCCCGAAATCTCGTGATAAATACTAATTGTCGCACAGATCACGAAGCCAAAAGGTAAACAATTTTCGAATTACTTTTCTATTGGCATAACCTACAACAAAAAAATGCAGATAAAAAAATCAACAAAACCTGCACCCAAAGCAAAAGCCAACAACAGCAATAATAACACAACAACAAGGCTGCCGCCGATAAGGGCGCCAAACGGACGGTCGGTAGTCGCGTCAGCAGCAACTTCAACAACAGCAACACCTCCACTTCCACTCCCAATACCCCCAATACCAATAACGAACAATAATAGTGATAACTTGTCACAAAACACGAGCGGATCGGTGACAGGCCAACAGCCAATTAGAGTGGACATCCTAAAAATAAAAGGACAATTGAGCGATGCACTGGGGGATAGTGCCACTACTTATTGGTCGTTGATCAAAAATTATATGGCTGGTCGAAGTTCGCGGCAGGCTCTGGAGGATTCATTGCGGCCGATATTGTTTTCCCAACAAACATGTAGGCTATTGACATTTAGAATAAAGCTGTGGTTTCTATGTTTCTTGTAGCCATCAATCGGGAAATATCCTCTCAATCATCAGATGATTCAAATATCTAATCCTCGTCTTTTGAATTTTTAGTGAAGCTGCACAATGAATTTTTGTTTGGGCTAACATACAATGCATATAATGCTGATGGGCCGCCGGCGGTCGAAGTGGATGAATCAGAGACGAGAAGAAAAAAGCATGGGAGGGATGAGGAAAATTCACAAGGAGGGGATGATGAGGGACCACAAAGAAAGAGAAAGAAGATAAAGGATTTAGTGATGTCGTTAGGACGTGATGAGAGAAAAAGAATAAAAGAGATATCGAAGGTAGAATAAATAATACATAATCGTCATTAATTTGTAGCTACTTTTGTTACATCTTCCAATTCATTTAACAGAATCCCAGCAGAGATATAAAAAATTCCATGAGCATGTTTCCTATTAGTCTGGACATTATGCAAGCGCCATTACCATCATCATCATTAATGCCAATAAATCATCCACCATTGTCATTACCAGAATTACAGCAAAGGCCTCAAGGTATGACGTTAACCACAAAATTTAATTTATATTTGATCATCAATCCATTCATACGTTAATCAAATGAATTTTTCTAAAAGACCACTCGTATCCGCTGTCATGCGTGGAAACTCTCAGCCTTCCAACACGAGAGAATTTGAGGGCACGCTTGCAGCAGGCCACATTGCGAAATAATCAAAATCCAGAGATACCGGAAGACTGTGTGGAATTGTTGAATTATGGACTGGAGGTGAAGATCAAAATCTCTATTTTCCGCTTCTGAAATGATAAACTAAAAAATATTCAATTTATGTTGCGTTTTAGACGCATATTAAGACAATAATAGCGGAAGTTCTAAAGAAAACTCGAACAGGTGGAACACTCGGACTTCAAACATCACACACGCGTAATAGTACAAGCACGAGCCGAGTTCGAACAATAACCCCAAAGGATCTCGCATTCACATTCAACATGTCGCCAGATCTTTTGGTCCAAGAATCACAAGCACGCGAAAAACTTACGGCAGTTGTACTTCGAGAAGGGCATTATGACGAGGATAATGATGATGAATTTGAGGAAGAAGAAATATAACTTGAAGTTCCGTGCTTGAAGGAGAAAGACATTTTAATTAGCATTATCATCATAATCACCATGGTTGATTGAATTGAACTTGCAAAAAATACGGATTAATTAGATTGCACGAAACTTTATTCGCAGTTAGAGATTTTATTAATGCATTCACATCACTTTTCGAGGAATCATACCACGGACATTTATATTCAGTGACCAACAACAATTTTTCTGTTGTTTTATTATGGTCATAATATTTTTAATAATTTGGTGTTTGATGGAGGAGGAATGACAAGTGGTAATTTCCTCGAATTTCCTGTAAATAGTCAATTTTTTTTCATTTGTAATTAAAAAAATATATACGTTCATAAAAATACGGCGTAATTGACACACACACACATTATAGTTTACCTTTTCTTTAGATTGCTTTTTTTTCAACCACAAAATCACAAAATCTTTATTAAATCCACGAAAAAATTTTCTGTTTCTTGTGTGTGTGTCATTATCCATCCGTTTTCCCATATTCAAATTCTTTTATCCCACTATTATTATCATTTATTACTTTGATCATTATAATCTTATCTTCAAATTCTTTAAATTTATTACCGCGAATTTTAATAATCTCTTATGTACGTGGATTTTTATTAATAATTGTGTAATGACTAGTTGATAAGGAATCATTCCTTAGACTCCTTATTGTCATTACAATTTTTCAATAACATTGTTAGTTATAAACCATGAATCTTGGCATCACATTACAGTCTTTCTTTCCGCAACTCTAATCACATATACCACCACTACTTCGATAACCACGATTTTTATGAAATCACTTTCTCGGTGGACTTCTATCATTTCTATATATCATTTTTTTATGAGATAATTCTCATAATAAACTCGGAATCTTATTAGAGAACCGGATATTGCCATGGATACATGCCATAATGTACCAAAAGTAGTAATTAATAATTACACATCTATCATAGCTCGTTATTGGTTCCTTAATTATTCGGTTAAAATTGGTCATGTTTCATATAGTATGATGTGAGAGATATAATATATAGATAATGAATAAAAAACAAGGTTGGCTCCTGGACCAGTCCAAAAATGTTGTACAAATATCTACCTAATTAAATTACTAATAAAATTTTGTCCAAACTGTCCAAAATTGTACTAGTGCCAACCCTGATAAAAAATGTATTCCTCTTTTCGATCATTTAGAGTCTCATAAAGAATCTTGTCAACTATTACCGCTATATTAGAAATGCCGACATTGTCATATTTTCCCTTTACTTCCACGCGTATTTATTCTCTAAAGAAATATAAATATTGGTCCTTTATATAATTCAACTTTTGTAAACCTTTGAATCCAATCTATTTACGCGCCAAAATAGCATGGATATTATTCAAATTCCCAAAGAATATGGATATGTATGCAAATTATTTGACATATGCGATTTTTATTCCTTTTATTCCCAATAGCATCGTTAGTCGAGAAACTGTTTATAACATTATTTATTCCCTTGGATTAACTTTTAGTTTCTTCATATATTTTATATATATATATATATATGTTAGGTTATTATAACAGGATTCCTTTTAAATCTAGTCAACACCTACTTGGGATTCCAAGTAACATTTTTCAGAAAAAAGGCTGGAGTTCCTTACCCTTTTCGTTAGTATATTTGTTTATTGTTAGAGAAATTGAGCGTGCTTGTTGTATTGTCCATTCATTAGCTTCTTATTAATCAATCTCTGTATAATATTAACTTGATTAGTTTATGCAGAAAGAAGCGAAGCTGAAAAGGACGAAAAAAAGATGTTGTTCAATTGTTATCAGCGAGCTCATCAGGTTTTTTCCTCATTTCTTTAAAACACGCAAGTTTCAAACAGCGCATACTAATAATGATTCAAAATAGAATTCGCTAGAATCTCAACCACAAGTTTTATTCATGTGAGTGAGTCCTTTGGTTTCCGAGTTCGAAATTTTATTACTTAATATTAAAGTTGATTTTATTGAATTTATTAGGCTCGCTGTCAGCGGTCTCAAATATCCCTTGATTGCATCAATTGCGGGCACAATCTTTGTAGCTGGTCGTATTTTCTATGCGCGTGGCTACCAGACTGGTCAGCCTGAAAATAGACAACGTGGTTCATTTGGTATTTTGGGCTATTTAACGTTGTCTGGCTTGACAGTTGCAACTGCGTTAAATATTTTAAAGTCTTAGAGCGAGATAATTTATCTAATTTTTCATATTTATTTATTTATTCTTATTATAATAATGATAGTCATAATAAACACGTTGTTAATCGATTTCAGAATAAGAAACCTGTTTGATGAAATTTATTCGTAATTAAGATTGACTAATAAAAACGAGTTCTTTCATAAAAAATTGCAATATCGAATCAACCGCTCATAGTAGGAAAAATATAAAATGCGGACAACAAATATCATAATGTGAAAGTTAATAACGCAACCTTTTTCTTTACTTATTAATCAAGGATTTCGGTAATCACGCCTAATAAATGACAAATAATATTTTAAATTTGACGATTTACACTAATCTAATCATTAAGATAATCACTACTACTCACCAGTACCAACAGTCTTCCCACCTTCTCGAATCGTGAAACGCAAACCAGTCTCAACGGCCATATCATGCTGCAGTTCACATTTAAGCGTAACATTATCGCCCGGCATCACCATTTTCTCTTCCGGATTTTCCGTCCCATCCGGATAGGTGAGATGCACAGTGACATCTGATGTCCGGAAAAACATTTGTGGTCGATAGTTCTGGACAAATGGTGTGTGTCGTCCACCTTCTTCTTTAGTCAACACGTATAATTGGGCCAAAAATTTTTTGTGTGATTTTACAGTGCCGGGAGCGCAAAGTACTTGTCCTCGACGTACTTGTTCACGTTTTATACCACGTAGTAAAGCGCCCATATTGTCACCAGCCATGCCTCGGTCAAGTTCTTTGTGAAACATTTCAACACCAGTAAGCGTGGTTTTGATTGGTGCACCCATTCCAACAATTTCTATTTCTTGACCTTTGACACATGTTCCTCTTTCCACTCGACCAGTTGCGACAGTACCACGACCAGAGATAGAAAATACATCTAATTAATTAATATATTAGTCAAATATAATTAATATTCCAAGGAGACAGGCGAAATCGTCATCAATACCTTCGACAGACATCAAAAACGGTTTATCCAAATCTCGAGCAGGTGTTGGGATATGTTTATCAACGGCGTCCATTAACTTCCATATTGCCTGTTCGCCAATTTCCGGATCACGACCTTCCAGAGCAGCAAGCGCCGAACCCTGTATAATCGGCGTATTCTCACCATCGAAACCATATTGACCCAACAAATCACGCATTTCCAACTCGACGAGTTCCAACATTTCCGGGTCATCAATCGCGTCGACTTTATTTATAAACACGACAAGCGACGAGACACCGACTTGACGAGCAAGCAATAAATGTTCGCGAGTTTGAGGCATTTGTCCATCTGTAGCTGATACGACAATAATTGCTCCGTCCATCTATAATAATTTAATGAGTTAATTGATTAAAAAATTAATTAATCAATTAGTTTTTTGATTTTTAAATGATTAACAAATATACCTGTGCAGCACCGGTAATCATATTTTTAATATAATCAGCATGCCCGGGACAATCGACATGCGCGTAATGCCTTGAATTTGTTTCGTATTCAACATGAGCTGTGGCAATCGTAATCCCTCTTGCTTTCTCTTCAGGAGCTTTATCAATTTCACTATAATCTTTAAATTGGGCTTGACCTTTAGCAGCTAAACACTTCGTTATCGCGGCTGTCAATGTTGTTTTCCCGTGATCCACGTGCCCAATTGTGCCAATATTAACGTGTGGTTTACCCCGTTGAAATTTTACAGTTTCAGTGGCATAATACCGTGTGACTAAATTATCACAGTAGTGAATTTTACCATTTGTTATTATTTGTTATTGAGATTGTGAAAATAATAATGATAATGAGAAAAACAGATTTAACCAACCGAACCCATGTTTGTTCAAATTTGCCCGTATCGAGGAACCACTATGGATCTGTGAACAACTATGTATGTAGCGAGCGGTGGCAGCGGCCTATACGAAATCAAGGCATGAATTGACCAAAATTCAATCTGGATCATTGAACATAATAATGAAAAATCATGTTTTGCTAAATCAACGTATCACTCAGCGTGCATAAAAGTTTCGCCGCCGAGTAGAAAAATATACATATACATTCACTCATTTCCCCTCACTCAAATCAAAGTAAA